GCTCCCCAGCCTGGGTCCATCTGCAGAGTCAGCAGCCCGAAGCCTCTCACAGTTCCACACCTTCCCTCTGCCCGCCCCACGCTCACGGCCACGCCCACCCCCATGCAGGCAGAGCCAGAAGGATGGCACATCCCAGATCTCCCTCCCTGGGCCACAGCCCTCATTCTGGGGCCCACGGGCCTGCTCACCCCTGCCCTCCTCCCTCCCCCACACTGTGCTGCTGACTCCCACAGCCCCCTACTTTTCCTCTCCATGAAGCTCCCATTTGGCCCTGTCACTTCACACTCTTGGGGCCTTCATGGCTCTGTGAGTTCCTGGGCTTCTGTCCCCCACCACAGATGGGGACTCTCCGAAGGCTCTGAGAGACCTCTGGCGCCCCTCAATGACGGGTCCGGGTCGCCGCAAATACGGGGAAGGCGGTGTGTCCAAAGGTGACCGCCCACTGCCCTGAGCTGAGGGCAAGGGCAGCAGGACTGGGAAGTCTTCCTGGGGAGATGGAGAAAAACCGGCTCCCTCCCTGACAGTTACAGAGACCCTCACCCACCCCCTGCCGTGCCAATAATCTCCATGCTGGCATGGTCCTCTCACCCACTCGCCCCACCCCTGGCGAGCTCACCTAACGGCTTCTCCTTCACCTTCACCCACTGGGAGAAGCAATGCTGACCTTCCCGAGGAACAAATGCATTCCCTGCCTTCAGACTGAGGATCTGAAGATCTTGATCCCTGCCCCTCCCACAGCTCATTCCCCTCCACCCCAGGGTGGAGACCACAGAGGCAGGGCTGCCACACGGACCTGCCTCCTCGAAGGGCTGACGTGAGCTGGCGAAGGAGTAGAGGGCTGGGAGGGGCCTTGCTCCTCAGAAAGAAGAAGAGACCTGCTGAGTTCAAGAACCATATGAGGAAGACAAGAAAAGGAAGAGCTTGAAGACTCCTTCTGATCTGGCTCCGTTCTCTCTCTCACTACAGTTGGACACGTGACAGAGGCCTCGGCTGGGAAGGCTAGAGCTGAGAGGGTGGTGACCCAGTTCTGGACTGGGGGAGCAGGGAGCGTGAGGGGAGGTGGTGGTGGCTGATGGCGAGAACATGGATCCAAGCCCCTTGGCGACATTGAAAATATGGAGCCCCTTCTCTTCCTGGCCCCCCCGCGCTATCCTTCAGACAGCCGTGCCATGCCGCGCTGTCGGAGACCCTGTAATATCAACTCAACAATGCATGTTCTACAACTACGGCTACAGCTACCAGGACATCGACTACAGTGCATGCATTTAGTTCAGTCCCACAGATACATACAGTCTAAGAACAGGCAGGGGGGTGTGAAATGTTTTACTGGACAACAGGTGTTTTGGAGTTGTAACTAATAAAAAAAAAAAAAATCAAAAACGAAAGTACAAAAAAAAAAAAGACATTTCTCGAGAGTTGGGTATGAATTTGTTTCTTGAACTGTTTCATCTGAACAAGCAAAAACATGCAAACCAGCTGGTACTAACAGGAAGCTGGACACTGAGAGAGGATTAATAGGTGTGGACAAACCTTCCCGCTGAGCGTGCTCAGAAGAGTGTTTGAGAGGAGGTGTGCAGATCCTAGTGTAAGAGAGGCGGGAAAGTATGCCTCAGAGACACTCTCACCGCAGCCCCAACCAAGCAAGAGAAAAGACAACAGAAACGTGACTCTCACACTCACCACTGTCAGGAGCTCATGTTACTACATTGGGATAAAGCTGGCAAGTATAAAGCACAGTAAGGGGTCCTGGCTGGGGCCGGAGGTGGGCTGGGGAGAGGAGGGGGCTCCAAAGCTCTAAGACTGATCCACGGGCCCACCCGTGACGCCACCCCGAAATGAAATAGCCTCCGAACCACTTCCCTCGCCCATGGGGGTGGGGGGTAGGGGATCGTTTGCAAACAGGATTGAGGTTTGAGTGGGACGTGATGGGGCCACTGGAACTGAATGAACACGATCAAAATAAACAAACAAACTCTTGACTGAGCACAAGAAAAGATGACATTTCAAACCACCGGGTGAGGATAAAAGAAAGGTGACCACTGATAGTGAAGTTATCTAGGAGTCGGCAGGGACCTCCCCGGGTGGGGCCCCCTGAGCCCTGCTCCCCCCAGGCCCTGGGTGAATTAGGCAAAGGCGGGCAGGCCGGCCCGGAGGGGCTGGCTGAGGTGGGCGCAGAGCTCAAGGCCCCCTGGACCTCCTACCCTGACACCGAAGCCCTGACCGGTTCGAGTTGCCAACCTGAGCCCAATGGAAGCTGCTTCCTACCCTCACGGTCTCGGCAGGTGCTTCCGCCTCGGGAAGCTCCTCCCCTTGGTCCTAATGAAAGAAAAAGCCCAAACAAAACTGTGGGGCTAGACAAAAAAAGCAAAGACAAACATGGGGGATGCCTGGTCCTTACCCCATGCCCCGAGAGCCCTGGCTTTTTAGTCATCGGCTAGTCCAGCACGGCACCAAGCTCAAGGTCGGTGCCCCAAAGCGTCTCCCTGAACCAGCTTCTGTGCAAGGGGTGCAGCTGAACTGCGGCTCCCTCGCGGGCCGAGGCTGCTGGGAGCCGGCTCAGGAGGCTGAAGGAGCACCCCTGCCCCTGGGGAGGAGCTGGGCTGGGGTGCAGGGTGGCAGGCATGGGTGAGGGTAGAACCTGACAATCAGTCCTCAGGGAGGATGTGCAGACCCCAACAAGTCTGTGTGGCCCTCGCACCTGTGCCCAAGTGCCATGGAGGGGCCACTGCAGACAGGCAGGTCGTGGGCAGGTCTGCCAGGCTCGGAGTTTAGATCTTCTATTTATTTATTTTTTTTTAAAGAGGGAGGGGGTAGTCCTTACAGGCCAACAGGCACTGACCGAAAGCAAGGCAGAGCTCTCCCTTCCCCAGCCCTGTAGCCCTGCGCCAGGCCCACAGGAAGGCAGGGTGTGGGCCTCCCTGTCTATACACGGGCAGGTGCCCTCCGCTGGGGGGTGTTCTGATCAGGCGGGCACAGGCTAGCCATGCCCCTTGGACACAGCCCAGGCCCCGACCCCAGGCAGCACTGCGGGGGTGCCTGTAGCTTCCCGGCGACACCTCGGAGTTGAGGATTTACTCCTGCTCTACCAGGCTGGTGTGGGGCAGTGGTCGGGGCACACACTCCTGAATAGAGTTCACTAACAGTGCAGCGATGAGCATGGCTGACCTAGGATGGCCTGTGGGAGACTGCGTTTCCGATGGAAATGGCCACAAATAAAACACCACTGAGCCCGAGAAAACAAAAGGTGTGGCTGGAGATGGCTCTGACCTGGGGGTTAAGAGTTAGAGGGGGTGGGTGGGACTCCCGCCTGGCTCTGGGGTCTGTGGGAGGTGAGGGTGGCGGAAGGGGGGCCCGGACCACGGGGAGGCCACTCTGACTCACAAAGAACCCCATGCTGCCCTTTAAACTTGCCATGAGGTCGGGGAGGATGGGGTGGGGAGAGAGGCAGGGTTAATTTTGGGTTAAAGTTTAGTTTCATAATCCAAGTTATAATAAGAAAGAAACTGAACGGAGAAAACAAAACCAACAACACTCAAAAATCTCGTTTCCTTTTGCTCGTCCCCCCACCAGGCACCGGTAGGTAGGGCAGAGGCTCGCTCCTAAAGACTGAGTTAAAAATCCAAACAGAACGGGGTGGGTGAGGGGGGTCGAGGGTGGGGGGGTGGGGGGACTCGAGGAAGCTGTGCCCCCACCCCAGGACAGGGGGCGCCCAGGGGCGCTGGTCAGAGGGCCGGATGCTCAGGGAGGGCACCCCGCTCTCCGCACCTGCTGGCCAGTCTGCCCAGCTCCCTGGCAGACTGCCCTCTGCGCCCCGAGAACAGCCTGGCCCCTCCACATAAATCCCCGGGGGGCGATTCCCAGGAGCGGGTCCTTTGTAGCTCGAGGCAGTGCCAGTTTGCATGGAACGGATTTTCACTGAGGTTTCTAATGGGCCTCGCTGTGCCAGTGTCTTGTCACAAAGATTCGGGCTTTTGGCATTTGCCCTCGGGGCCTTTAATGCCCCACTTCCTGGTGCCCTCGCCAGCACCTCCCTCCCCGCCCTCCTGGGAGCCCTGTTACATCAAACGGGATGGTGCCCCTGGATGCTCCAGAGCCCGGGCCACGGGGTGTGGGGGGAGCTGCAAACCACGGTTTAGGGGGAGCAGGGCCTCTGGGTGCCCAAGGGGGAGGCCAGGAGCCTCGTGGGGAGCCCAGAGCACAGCAGAAGCCCCGCCTGCTTAGGAAGGCAGTGAGTGTCTGGGCATCTGGGGAGAGGACCCAAGGCCCTCCTGAGGCCTGGACGTGCCCACAGCGCCCCTGGGAAAAAGTTCCCATCTCCCTTGAGGGGTCCCAGACCTCCTAAAAGGCCGGCTTTAGAGACCAAAGGACCGGGGCAAACTCCTGGCGGGAAAACTCCGCTTCCCTTGGCAGCCGGAGTCCGGGAGCTCTCTCGTCTCTGCTAAGAGTGTCTGGGCGGCAGCCAGAGTCCAGGAATTGCAGCCGGTTCGCTGAGGTCAGGGCTGCCCCCCAGTTTGGCCTTCGGGAGCTCTGGCCTTTAGTTGGGGCAGCAGGTCCACCTGCCCGGGGGCAGCAGGACGGAGTGGACTGGTTGCTCCGAGGCTGAGCCTCCTGGTGCCAACCCAGGCCTCCGGCTGGGTCAGAGACCCGGGGAAAGGAGCCTTGCGAACCAGCAAAAGCCGAGGGGAATGCCCGCAGCGCCCGGAAGCCGGCTGTCAGGTGAAGGGGCTGTCCAAAGCCCAAGAGCAAACTCATTTCTCTCTCCTTTTTTTTTTTTTTTTTTGCAATGACAGGATAACGATCCACCTCTGGTTTGCAGTCCCTGACCGAGCCCGGCTGGGAGGTGCCCTGGGTGGCGGGGCCTGGCCCGAGCCTCCCGTCCCGCCCTCCGGGCTGTGGTGAGAGTCGGGGACAGCCGCAGCCACACAGATCCGACAGGGCCTTTACCTTCCCCCGCACACTGGGGCATGCCTGGCAGCCGCCTGTCCCGTACGCCTTCCTACCTGATCCTCTGGCCGCCGCCACCGCCGCCGCCGCCACTGGTCCGTAAGCCGCTGCTGGGAAGCCTGGCGGAGAGAGAGGCGCCGGAGTCAGGGGGGTTTGGGGGGCCCTCGCAGGGGCCGCAGGCAGCCCCGTCTCCCAGGCCCCTCTCCCCCGCCCCCCACACAAAGGACGGGCCGGCTTCTAGCGGGGACACAGGCCAGTGGCTTCTCAGGCTTCTGGGAGGCACAGCAGCTGCAGGTGTGTCAGATGCTCACTCACCGGTCACCCCGGAGGAGGCACTCCTCCGGGGAGCTGGGCTGAGCTCCCTGCCACGGCCGCACTGACCCCTGGCCGTCCCCAGGCCCGGCCAGAGCAGGGCCAGGCATGGCTGGGCTGCCTGCAGGGAGCGTCCGCCCTGAGCCCCAGGCGGGAGGCCCTTGGGAAGGAACAGACACAAGAATAGGCACCTTGGCCAGGAGTCGGCTTAACTCTGTTTCCCGAAGGCTCTGCAGGTTTGCTGGGCCATCTAAACGCCGGGCATGGTCATGTCAGCAGCATGGCTGCCCCAGGCCTCAGTGGGGAGAATTCTGGGCGTCCGGCTGGCTGCGTGCGCGTGAAGCCCACAGTGGGAGGGAGCGTGGGGCCCCGGGACGGATGCGGAGGGAGCCCCGTGGCTTTCTCTCTCTCTGTGGCTCAACCTCGGAAGCAGATCAGCACTGCGGCGTCTCCTGGGGTTTCGATCGAGTCCTGTGCGTTCTAGAAACTTCTGGGTGGAGGCTTATGCTATCGAATACTGCGCCGGGAAGCCAGGCGAGCCCAGCGATGGGACTAAAAGGACAAGGTGACCCAGGGTGGCGGCAGAACGTCCAGGGAAGGGAGGCGGTGGGCCAGTCCCCTCCCCTGGGCGTCCCTTGGCCACTAGAACGTGCACACAGCCGGGCACCGGGACACACGCAGACATACTCCCACACACGTGGCACCAACGGCCTCTCCGTCCAGGCAGACACGTGGAGGCCTGATTCCGAGGCCCATTCCCAGTGCCGGGTTTTAAGGGATGTGCCAGAGGCGGCAGCACTGAGATGAGCTGCTGGGCATGGGCCACAGAGCCGTCCAGGGAGGTGTCTGCACAGGACTGAGGGGCAGACATGCACCACGGGCGGCAGGGAGCAGGGAGGACAGGAAGGAGGGAGGAGCCATCCCCAGACAGAGAACTAGAAGCCCACTAAACTCTAAGACTACCGTCCTAGCTACACGGAACTACTGGGGGGAGAGAAGTTCAAACGGAACGAGCTACTCTAGGAAGGTCAGGCTAAGCTACTGCAAACGCCAATGAAAAGAAACATACTTGCATTTAAATATGGTAATAGGGCTGTTGAAGGGGGAAAAAGAAAGATCCAGGTGAAGTCAGTGTACACACGCAGGCGGACCCTGCGGCAGGACTGGTCTCCGGCTCCTGTGAGGACCCCGGCGCCTGCCTGGAGGCTGCTCCCCCCCCCCCCCCCCCCGCCAGCACCCAGGAAGGGGTCCCCCACCAAGGCCTCTCCCCACTTCTTCCGGGCAGGATCTACATTTCTGAAGATGTGGGTGCTGGCGAATGTGCTGAAGGAAAATAAGGAGGAAGTCAGGTTATTTCTCCCTGTCCCAATTCTCAGACTGCCAGGTCCCTGCAGGCAGAGAGCATGGACCGGAGGAGGAGGAGGAGGAGGAGGAGGAGGAAGATGAGAAAGAGGAGGAGGAGGGGGGGAAGAGGAGGAGGAAGAAGAGGAAGAGAAGGTAGATGAGGAGGAAGAGGAGGAGGAGGAGAAAGAAGAGAAGGAGGAGGAGGAAGAGGAGGCAGGCACTGAGAGCAGCAAGGCCCTGCTATTCTTGCACTCTCTCAGGAAGCAGGTTTCCTTGGAAGTGTGACAAGGTGGTGGAGGTAGGGGGATGGGGGGACAGGGAGGCAGGACTGGGGGAGGGGAGTTCAATCAATAAAAAGACTTAACCAAAGATCTATTTTCTGGAGTTGAGTGCATTTTGGATGAAAAGTCCAAGAGAAAGAGGAAGGGACAAAAATATCCAGGAAAATCCATTATCCTTAATCTCAGATAAAGGCTGCTGGAGACTGAGCATCACATGGCTGAGGGCTGGAATTTAATCTCCATCAGAACAGGCTGAACAGAGTGACAGGTGTGAGGAGGGGCTGGGAGAGGAGGGCCACCCAGTCTGCCCCGTACAGGGAGCGGGCCCACCACACAGTGTCCTCCCAGCCCCTCCCCGGGCTCCCTGCCCTCCACCTCCAGCCCCACAGTCACCCTCTACCCAGCCATTGGCCCTGCCTCCGGGACAGGATTCTTCCCCGGGCAGCGCTGTTGCACCTTCTCCACGCTGGGCCACGCGGCTGGGTGGTCGCAAACATCCTGGGGGCCTTGAATTCCTTACTGATGACAGGGGTGTGCCATCCTTTATCCCATCCCCACACCATGATGTCATTTTATTTTTTTTATTTTATATTTTACTGATTTTTTTTACAGAGAGAAAGATCGATGAGAGAGAAGCATCAATTAGCTGCCTCTTGCACACCCCCTACTGGGGATGTGCCCGCAACCAAGGTACATGCCCTTGACCGGGATCGAACCCGGGACCTTTCAGTCCACAGGCCGATGCTCTATCCACTGAGCCAAACAGGTTTTGGCCATGATGTAATTTTAGTGGGGCTCACTTGCCAAAACTCAAATGAGAATGTGCCATCTTCTGCTCAGCTCTAAGGACACCGGGGCCAAGCGGCTGGCACGGCCCTGGTCGTCTGAGCTTCCCATGTCTTAGCAATAGATCAGGCAGAGAAGGAGAAAAGCATTTTGCTGAAAAGAATCTCAGGGCCTGGGTGCTCTAGGTTGCCTACTGGGGAACTCGGGTATTAGGAATGTAGCATCTCCTATTCGGGTACCTGGCATTGGAAAAGAAAATGCCTGATACACAGGAGTGAAGCACTGATGGTGGGATTCCAGTCAGACCCCGTTCGATTCGGTAGCCTGGAGCTGCTCAGTCCCTCAGGTGGGGGACAAAGAAATAGAAGGCTCTCTGGGCTTGGCCTCAAAGCCTGCTCCAGCCCCGGCTGCCCCGCCTCGCTGGGTGACGTGGGTGTCACCCTCTCTGGGCCCTGAGTAACCGACTCCTTTTTCCTGCAGGGAGGTGGGCTTGCCTTGGCTGGTGTGGCTCAGCGGGAGGGGCTGCAAAGGGGTGGGAATGGACACAGTTGAATGCTACATTTTTGGAGTGAGAGGACTCGGGTTCGGACAGAACAGGGGGCATGAAGAGGGACAATTGATAACCAAAGCTACACGTTTACATGATCAAACTGTATAATTTAGGAAGCAAACAAACATATGTCTATTTGGGAAAAGAAAACCCCACCCCGAGTTCCTGGCGTTCAAAAGAGAAATCCGACTTCTATGCTGTTTTGGAAGCAAGCCTGACACTCACCGAGGACACCGACAGCGCCATTCCCAGGGAGGCCCCGGGCAGAGGAGAGAGCTGGGGACGAGGTGCAGGGAGCGTGGGCGGCAGTGCCGGGCCCTCTGCTGGAGCCTGGCTAATGCCGGCCCGAGAGGGAGGTGGAGAGGCCAGTGAGGCGGCCAGGCCTGCCTGGGCCAGGGGAGGGTTACCTGGGCCCTCCCTGTTACTTAAGGGGAGCTGCGAGGTTCTGGGGCCAAGAGCCCAAGGGTGCTGGCACCTACAGCAGGGGGATGGCACAGAAACGGCCCCAGATATTTCTCAATGCAACTGCTGTTTGGCTTAATTTTTAAATAACATGTATTTCTTTGGACATTCAGATGGAGATAAAGGGAAGGCGCACTGTTACAAAAGCTTAGCGAGGTTTAACCTTCTGTCGCCAGAGAGCTTCTGTTTGGATGAAAGGGGTCTTAGAAGCTAGAAGAGGAAGCCAGGGGGCACCCTTTGAAAACCAAGGGAAGTTCCCAGAAGAGGCAAGTGCAGACCATGGGTGCAGGGCCGGGCACGGAAGGTGTGCGCTTGCCCAGATCCCTTCCGGCTCGGAGGTGCTAGGGAGCAAAACAGGGTGCCGGCTGCCCCTGAGCCCGGAGGCCCAGAGTGGGAGAGGCCCGGCACCTGCCCCACCCGGCACCTGCAGCGTCCCACCTGCGTCTGACTGCAGCTGGGCAGGGCCCCGTGTTGCTCCTCCGTAAACCCGTTAGGGACGCCTCCTGGCCGGGCTGCTGCTGCGAGATTCGGCGAGAGGATGGCGCTGGGTGCTCGGCACGGTAATCTGGCACTCGGTAATGGCTTAGTAAGTGGGATGATAACTTTTATTTCTATTTTTATTATTATTGCTCAAGGTAATAACAGTAGCGGAGCTGAGAACTCCCTTCGGTGCCTTCCTATTCTAAAATCCTATTAATTTACATGACATTTCACATCCAAAGTGCTTTAATAGATAACGTTTACAATTCGCTGGTGAGTGATAAGGGTGTGTTTTACCTGCAGCGCAAGCTCTAAGTCTGGTGGGGCCATGTGATGGCAGGAGGCTCGGGGCTCCCGAGGGCTCAGGGAGGGCCTGGCTGGGGCGGCCACGGCCCTGGGCGCGGTGAGCACAGGTGGGGACGCGGATCCCAGAGCCCAAGTGTTTGTCCTTGGCAGCTGGGCCGGTGAGCTCCGAGGCCCTCTGGTCCCTTCTTGTCCTGACATGTGCCCCCGGGCTCCTAGCAAGGGCCTGGCCACAGGAGCCCTGGGGGCCCTCCCATCCAGGCGGGGCCCTGCTTGCTCCTCTGCGGACAGGCGCCCTGGTTCACCGCTGTGTTCCCAGCAGCGAGGGCAGGGCCTGTGGCGGAGCAGGTGCTGAACAACCAGGTGCTCCATGAGTAAAGGATGGATGGGTGGAAGCGGACGAATAGATGCAAGGGGGCGGGGCACGAAGGGGCTCTTCCCACACGTGGCCTTACCTGGATACCAGCGCACGCAAGGCCAGTAGCGGAGGTTAGATGGAGGAAGACTAGAGGGGCCTTAAGCGAGTGCCACTCAGGGGTGGCCTCGGGCTCAGCGCAGGGCAGCCGTGCCACGGGGGAAGTGGCCTGCTTCCCCTACAGAGCGCGGCAGCAGCCACTTTCCCTGTGGTAAGTGCCTCTGGGCGAGGCTGACCACCTCAAAGGGGAGAGACCCGCGCCCACTGGGTCGGCGCAGCGGCCTTCACAAAGGCCCCCGCCGGGACCAACTTCCTGCTGCAGGTGGGGTCAGCGCTCCTGGTCCACAGAGGGTTTGTCCCAGATTCTCTGGGTCTGGAGAGGAGTGGCATCGGTTTCCTAATGCTAAAATCTGTGGCCTAGTGGTCCCACCGGTGACAAATCTGCCCCCGGGGGAGAGGGGGCAGAGAATCAACAGAAGCAGGAATGCAAGGGGAGAGGGTATGAGATATGCAATGCATTCATGCCTTTAAGTCTGCTGGGCCCTTGGCATGGAATACCTTTCTCTCATCACCTGCCTGTCGAACTTCTACTTGTGTTTCAAAACCCCATTCAGATGTCGCCCATTCCTGAAAGCTTTCCAGGCAGAGCCGGTGACTCCTCCCCTGTGCTCATTCTGCACACCAGTCAGGCCGGAAGGGAACCCAGCTCGGGGCAGGCCCTAAAGATCCTTTCCTGCATCACAGGGAATGCGCTCTCGACCTCCCCACCCCAACCCCACCACCGCTGAGGGAACACGGAGCAGAGGCAGTGACCCTGCTGGGTAGGGTCGCTGGGGGAAGGGGATCCAGGTCCATCTGGACACAGGGACGAGGAGGGAGGGAGTGGGGCCACACCTCCGCCTTCTGGTCTGTCCGAAGCTGTTTGTCCTCCGGCTTAAGCTGCGCAGCCCTCAGGCCTGGCACTGCGGCCTGTCTCTACTGCCACACTGAGCTATTTATGCTTTGTTGTTGTTTTTTTTAAGCTGTGACCTTTCGCTTGTTTTTGCTGATGGAAATTAAAACTGAAGGGTTGGAAGAAAGGTGATTACATTCCTGCTGGTAGGCTTACTGGAGCCTTTGTGAGCTGGTGGTACGGGCACCTGGACGGTGTGCAGGAAGTGAGGACGGCAGTGCTGGGGTAGCTGGGATCTGGCGAGCACCATGCAGCCCACGGAGAGGGCAGGTGAAGTCACGTCCACAGCCTACCTCACTGCTGCCCCTGACCACGCCGGCTGGGCCCTCTGCTCAGGCATGGATACCACACTACCCTTTCCAAAGCATTAGCTCATCCCTAGACTCAGTAGCCTGCAAGGAAGAGGACAGGACAAGGATCAACAGCCCCATTTGACAGAGGGGGAAACTGAGGCCCAGAGGTGGCCTTACTCTCCCAGCAAGCTAGGGACCTGGTCCCCGCCTCCCCGCCTGCGAACAGT